TTGAACAAAAATTCCAAAAAAATTCTGTACGCTAAATTGGGTCAAAGTGAACATTTTTTGTCTCTTATACTTTTTTGATAAAATCAATAATTTTCGAGATAGAAAATGCCAGAGCTTGAAAAATAACTAGATTCACGATTTTTGTTCTCACGAACTAATTATCCAATCAGCACGAATAAAAAATGAAAATGTTCGGCCAATCTTAAACTTTAATGAGAATTTTTTTTATTTCGATCCGCACTGTTATTGACAGTCAAAACTTCATTAGAATATGAAGCTCTGAATGCTCGTTCGCGGTGCGTGAGCCGTCTGCAATCTCAACGCAATTCATAGCATCGCAGCTCGACACAGCATGCAACATGCTCGGCGCGCCGACATGGCAACGTAGCGTCGAGATCGCTCACGCGCCGCGGACGAGCATTCAGAGCTTCATTCTAATACAGTTTTTACTGTCAATAATAATACGGATCAAAATAAAAAAAATTCTTATTAAAGTTTAAGATTGGTCGAATATTTTCGTTTTTTATTCGTTCTGATTGGATAATCTCAAAAACTTTGATTTTATCGAAAAAGTCCAAGAGACAAAAAATGTTCATTTTGATCCAATTAAGCTTACAGAATTTTTTTTCGGAATTTTTGTTCAAAGTTTAGATTTTTTAAACAAAAAATGTAATTTTTTTAATGACCACATGAACAAATAAAGTGTACCATATATATAGATGCTTTTTCGTAGAATAATATGAGGAATCGAATCCGATCATTTTAAGTCGCTAGAACGTTAATCGGTTGGTTAGTGAATGCAAAATGGAGGTTTAACCGCTCGCCTATTAATGAACATATCGATCTGACACGTCTATGCGAAATTTTATTTAGTAATTTACTATTAGTAATTTACTTTTTTTTCGTAATATATCTCGAGTCCCTTTTACCACCTATTTTTTTTAACAAACATTATTACAACCAAAATACAGAATAATATTCTTTTTTACATTCTAAAAGTAAATATATACAAACATTTCAATTAAATTTTTTTCGAAAAAGCGGAGAAAGAAGATGCGGCGTGTGTCTGGTTCGCCTATCGCTACCGCGTCTAAGTAGGCTTCTCTTCTCTTCTTCGCATTCATCTCTTTCTAATATTTTACTATAATTTAATTGTATCGGCCATTTTCAATGTTTTTTACGTTAATTTTCATCCACATTCTTTTACGCGCTCTATGTTCAAATTTGATGATAAATTATTCTCAAAATCACATTTTATACTTTTTATTATTAAGATATTTAAAAAGACATAAAATTTTAAAACGGATTTATTTTCAGTATTATTTGCTTAAAAAATAACAAAAATTAATCAATAAAAAATTATTAAATGAAAATTAAGTTCATAAAATATGACAGTAAAAAGGAATTGACACTGCAACGACTTGAACTCCACCAGTCTCAAATGTAAAAAATGTATGTAAGAAGCGCAGATTTTAAAATTAGTCTGATCAACCACGCTGCGTATTCGAGCAATTATGTAGTTCTAGTACTCGACGGACAGCTATTTATTGTTCACCTACACAGTTCCGGCGCGTTATAAATATATAACGAAGCCCACATATATTTAGATATCAATTTATATATAATATTCTCTTTTTTTTTCATTACCGCAGATTATTTTCGATTAATTTTTAGTATTGTATTACATACTTATAATATTATAAGAAATAAAGGAGAGTGAAATAGCTACTCATCTGAGACCAATTTTTGGAAACTGTCAGGTTTAAATAAATTAAATTTCACACAAAAATAATATTAATTCCCGGGATATAAAAAATTATTATTGTTTATATCTATTTAATTGTTGTTTGACTCACTAGAAATTTTATTTCTTTTTATTAAACATACAGAACACACACACGCACGCACGCACGCACGCACGCACACACGCACGCACGCACGCAAAAAAGTTTCAAAATTAACGTATTATTTCTGCTATACATGATATGAAGTACTATTCTACACCTTTCCCTGTTCAGAAACGTTGAACTTTCCACGCGAAATAACTTTCACCCCCCCCTCCCCCTGCACAGGGGCACACGACTTCTACGATTGTACTGTTGCTATGATAGTACTGTCGGGGCAGACCTCTGTGACGGTGTGGGTGCGGGGGGGTGGCCGAAGGCCACCTCCTTGCACCCGCCCGTGTGTGTGTGTGTGTGTGTGTTCCATTCGTTATGTAACGATTATGAGTCTATTACTTGATATTTTACACACACACACACACACACACACACACACGGGCGGGTGCAAGGGGGCGGCCTTCGGCCACTCCCCCGCACCTACACCGTCACAGAGGTCTGCCCCGACAGTACTATCATAGCAACAGTACAATCGTAGAAGTCGTGTGCCCCTGTGCAGGGGGGGGGGGTGAAAGTTATTTCGCGTGGAAAGTTTAACATTTCTGAACAGGGAAAGGTGTAGAATAGTGATTCATAAATGGTAAGAAGTGTACCTCTTGTATTCATTTTGATTGCATTTATTCTTGGTCTGTTATATTGTGTGTGTGCATGCGTGTAAAAATAGTACTTGTTATAATACATATATGGCAGAAATGATACATTAATACGTATAATTTTCCAGAAATGATACGTTAATTTTGAAACTTTTTTTATTAATAACTTTTTAACGAGTTAGGTCCGACGGTTAAAACTTCCTCAAGGTCACTCAGGGTCATGACCTTGACAACATATGTCAAGGTCAAGGTCATTGGGGGAGGCTCCCCTAATCTACATTTTTACCCTTATTTAAAATATAAACACGATATATTTTAACACATTTGTAAAAAAATGGGTGTAATACAACTTTAATGTTAATACACTTTTAAGTGAAATAATAAACATCACGCGCATGTAAGTAAACATACTTATAATTGCAGAGAAAAATATTTCTGATCCACATTTTATGTAGCGAGAATACGATTATACGAATTAATCGAATATCTACTTACCATGTCAGTCTTGAAAAGTAGATGCGTTATCCTCAGAATAGTGGATCTTGGCATGTAGTTTACATCCACTTCTCTTCAGAGGGCAGTAGTGCGCGGACATTTTGCGGTTACAGGTTTTAGGCCGTCATGTCCTCTCTCAGGTTTCTCTCTCTGGTATTACATATATGGCCATCACTTTTGGCTTACCCCCTCTACCGATATCTGGCCGAGTTGACTCTCCTGGTTCTAGTCTTCTTGGTTTTAAATTTTATCTAATACCAGTGAATGCTCATGGATCCGCTCCACAACAGTTAAGTCTGTTGAACGCGATCATTATTGGCTATGTATAACGGAGAAAGTCACTTTAGAATTGTTGTAAAATTCTCAAATACGGTTGGTTTTTGCTTTTAATTCCTTATGTATCTAAACGTATAAACCAATCATACTGAAGAATTTTACAATAGAAGAATTTTGCAAAGTTGCTTTCTCTGTTGATGCAGCCATTATTTCTGCGCTCAATGGATATGAGCTTGACAGTAAACTGGGTAGATTCGCGCTTATTCGATGATCTTTAAAAATTAATAACTTTATTAACTTATTGCGAAATTTGCAAAAAGGGCAGAGAGCTTTCTGTTCAGTTTAATCTACTATCCATCACCAGTCCAGTTGTTGAAACAGTTATTATGGTATACCCTGTGTGCGTGCGTGCGTGCGACACGATCTTTGTAATGTATAATATTTTAGGTGTAGTAAAAAGAAATCCATTATTTTTCCAATAGATTTCATGCAAAAATAATGGTTTCTTTTTACTAATTTACATGATGTTTATTATAACAGTAGAGATATTGGTTGCGTTCAGCAGGTGCAGTATTCTTTTAGATCGTCCAATAGCAGCGAACGTTTACGGATCCACTCCACAACAGTTGAATCTGTTGAACGTGACCATTGACATTGGGCGAGTTCAAGACGGCAAAGCGGCTAGGTAGAGTCCCTAGAAATACATGTATTTCTAGGGACTTTAGGTACGCTTACCGAGCGATTGAATATAATTGGTTATTACTTATAGATCCAACCAATCATACTCGATCGCTTGGCAAGCGTACCTATAGTCGCTTTACCGTCTTGAACTCGCCCATTATAACATTTGGCTATCTTTCGAGAAACAGAAAAGTCATATTTACGTACATTATGATGTATTTTCGGCTAATATAATGTATTGACTTTGTGTCGCACGGATATAACTACAGTTAATCAAATTGTAATTCCTATGAATCAAGTGTAATTTATTTTGCATATGAATGTATAATATATATACAAAGTTAAAAATACTATATAATAATTAAACAGTTTGTTTTTGTTAAAGATCAATACATATATCATTCTATTAATAAAAATTGCTAAAGTTAATTTTTTCTACTCTTTTTATTTTTAAAAATTATTATCTATATATTACGACAATTTTGGACGACATTATATTATTATATATTATTTATTTGTTTTCTTTTTAATGAAGAATTATAGATATACAAAACGAGTATCGGCATGAGATTCCTATAAAGTTGTTATTAATAAATATTAGTACATAATACAACGTATAAGTATGATCTTTTGTTCCAATGATAATTTAAAAATTATTCGTTTACCCAACAATACAATATTACTTCTCATTATAATAATATTCTGATGATACTGCATCTCGATAATGAAAGTGACTTTTATGGTGAATCCAATGTTCGATATCAAGATTTGTTATGAAATGAAAAACAATAATGTTTTCTTCAACTTTGACAAACGTCTCGCTCACGGATAATATATTTATGCAGGTGACATCGCTTGATCGCTGGCAACCGGCGACACGGTCGCCCCGGCAACTGCCATTAATTCCGTAAACAAAGGCACGCATTGTCGTGCCGAGGGTCGTGTGAAAAAAATTTCCTCGATCGAGGGTCATACGTTTGATGTACGAAGATGATGAATGCGCCGCGACGACTCGCACTTGTCTCCGCGTTCGCCTAAAAGACTCTTTCACGTGCGGAGACTGTCTCTCGTTCCGAGTTGTCATCGTAGCGATCTGAAGATTCCGTCAACGGCGCTGCTGCTGCGATAATGTCGGGGAAAAAGGCTACAGAGAAGGTTTCCGAGATTGATGCACATATCAGCAAACAATATGACATTGTGCGACGTCTCGGCAAAGGGGTAATAATGTTATCTTCCCCATTTATTCCGTGTAGGGTCATTTTACAGATAATGTGAAAGCGCGAATTGATTTCGAATTTATTCTTTTATCCTACATGTGAAATAAAAATGCGCGGGTTAATAGACAGATAAAATATGTTCGTTTAAATTAATTGTGATTTTGTCAAAGATTATACTGTATTTTATTTAGATATTACATCGTGTATATTATTTGTTAATATATGTATAAGAGTTATAGGAAAAATATGAAGTTGTGTGAGATGTCTGTGGCTATTTCAGATAAACAACATTTTTAATTTTAATTAAATATATGGAATTAAATATATGATAGAAAGTAAATTATATATGTATAAAAATTTGATATTTTTTTGTATTCTTTGATATTTTAGAGTTTTTTTTTTGCAAAAATCAACTGATATTTTTATTATCAAATTTATTATAATAATTTTTTTACAATTACTTTATGTGTAATATTCTGTCGATTATCTTATTTTTTTATTTTATTTTTATAAAAATTATTTTTTTACACAATCTTATTATTATTTTGATAACAGAAAAACAAAATCATAATATGTGTATTATAACATATACAATAAAGTTTATACGATAAAAGCTTTTATTATATCAACGTTTCCCAACATTTTCCTTTTGAAGATGTCAATAATCATTATAATTATCTGCCTCAGGAAAGTAAAGTTGGAGACAATCGATAATGCCGCCGTCGCAATGATAGCAAACGGATTGTAGTACCGCAAATCAATTTTTGTTATATGCTATTTACATAATTTGTATCTGATGACAGGTTGTAGTCTCATTTACATCATAATGACAACGTAAACTTATGTATTAACTTATACATTGTGTTTGGTATTTCTTATTTATATTTTACGGTAATTTAATCAGTAAAAGTGAAATAAAAAATGTATTATATATATAATATAATAATAATTTTATATGTATAACAAAATAATTCTGCAGTGTATAATTTTTATTTATATTAATTTACATTTGTGTTTAAATATTGTTAAAAATTTAATGAGTAATTATAATTTTAATAAGAAATATATATGCAAGAATATATGATATAGTTGAAAAAATTTCCTGTTTCTTTTATAGATTTTTTATAACAACAACAATAACATTGTTTAATTCTTGTTTTTATACAGGCTTATGGTATAGTATGGAAGGCAATCGAAAAGAAAAGGAAGGAAACCGTCGCGGTGAAGAAAATCTTTGATGCCTTCAGAAACCAAACGGATGCGCAGCGTACGTTTCGCGAGATCATGTTCCTACTGTCGTTTGCTAATCACGAGAACATTATAAAACTGATCGGACTGCATAAGGCGGACAACAATCGGGACATTTACCTCGTTTTCGAATACATGGGTGAGTTTTACCCTGTCCGAAGAAGAATTCGCACACATACGCATACGAAGGTCACGCCATGTGCGCCGATTCTCAGACTTTTGGCCTGAAACACGTTTCGGCCCGTTTCCCCAGAAACCGATCTCCACAACGTCATTAAGCGGGGCAACATCCTCAAGGACATCCATAAGGTCTTCATTATGTATCAACTTTTTAAGGCAATCAAATACATACACTCAGGCAACGTTATCCACAGAGATTTGAAGGTAACGTTGAGTCTTACGATTTAAACGTGTTTAAAAAGTTTCAGTTAATTTTTAATTAATTTTTATCAAAAAAATATCTTTAGAAAATTTTACATATAATTTTAATTTCACTTTTAATGGTAAATGTTTACTATTAAATTTTATTAAGTCACATTTGAAAAATACTTTTTTGTGTAAAAATTTTTTAATTTTTTAATCTTTTTCACATATCTTAATTTGTTATATTGTTTACGATGGAGAAAATACATTGTTCCATTATGTCGAGTTTGTATTATTTTTTTATAGCCATCCAATGTTCTTTTAAATGCGCAATGCCATTGTAAGATTGCGGATTTTGGTCTGGCACGCTCGGTTACGCAAATCGGCCAAGGCGATGGTGAGACAGGAAGTGATCCAACTTTGACGGATTACGTCGCTACACGATGGTATCGCGCACCAGAAATTCTGATAGCTTCAAAGAGGTATATGTTTATTTATGGAACATTAAAATGATAAAATGCAAAATTAAGTTTTGTAATTGTAATATTATAGAACTGATATATCATTTCAACTTGCTTCTGTTCAGAAAGTAATGAAGAAATACATTTTCATTACGCGGAACGTTATAGTACATTGTGTAACGCGTGGGGGCTAGTGTTATGGCGCGAAGGGCGCGAAAGCACGAGCGAAGCGAGTCCGTCCCGCGCTATATACACTATACCCCCACTAGTTGCTCATAATATTTTATGTCACGCGGTTCGCGTAAATTTAAATGTCGTCTCTATATAATTAGATAATTGGGGTTTCTTTTATATGTGAAATTTGGATATTATAAGGATCGGATTTTATCATTCATGGTAATATAAATATTTTTAGATATACAAAAGGAATAGATATGTGGTCCTTAGGTTGCATTTTCGGTGAAATGTTACTTGGAAAGCCACTTTTTCCTGGCTCATCAACGATAAATCAAGTTGAGAGAATAATGATAACCTTGCCTCCACCAACAGACGAAGGTAATTCTTTTCTCAGCTGTTTAATAAAGTGAAGAAAAAAGAGAAAATAAAAATAACTGGATTCTTTCCAATAATTTTTTCAGATCTAGTATCGGTCAGCGCCGGTTATGGAACTAATTTATTGGAAAAGACACCCAACAAACCCAAAAGGACTTTGAAGGATTTGTTGCCAGAAGTGTCGGAGAATGCTTTGGACCTTATCAGTAATTTGATAGTCTTCAACCCCACACAACGTCTTACGGCAGTTGAAGCACTAGAGCATTTATATGTTGCTGAGTACGTATATATTGTAATAATATAATTTATAATTGTAATATAATTTTGCAGAAGATAAATTTAAAACAAAACTTATTTTGTTTCATTAAATAAAATTTTTATGAATTTCTTTTAATTCAATTATTCTTCTCATAATCAATATTTATAATTTATTATCTATATACGTCTATAGAGCAAAAATTATTATTTTTAAATTAATATTCAACTCTAAAGACCGTTAATGTAAGAACATAACTAATACGAATATGAAGCCTATAACAGTCTAGCTTGGATCTTAGTTACTTATATATAATTTCGCGTAAATTTATATACTAATATATGTAATCTTTTTAAACTGCGCGCTGAACAATTGTCGGTCTTGAAACGCCACTCTAATCAACTACAGTAATACTATTAAGAATTATAATAAATTGATTAACAATTTAATAATTAATTAATGCTCTTTTTTTGGCATCATATATCGATTTTAAACTGTATTAAAATCTGAAAATATAATTCTTATTGTGAAAAATATTACCTCGGCCGGGAGTCGAACCCAGACCACTTTTTTAAAATTCGTATTGCAACATCTGAATTATATTTAAAATAATTATATAAAAAAAATTATATAAAAAAATTATAAAAAGTAATTATATAAAAAAATATAATAATTATATAAAATACACTGCGCAACAAAATTAACGCAACACATGTTTCACTATGCAAAAATAGTCAAACTTCAAGATAGAATAACTTCGTCAAAAATCATCGTATCGAGATGTCTAAAAAAGCATTTTACAGCTTGAAATCTCTACTTTTCAGATCGCTACTTGAAAATGTGATCTCACGGAGATTTTATGAAGTTACACAAACATAAATGAAGATATATCAGATTTCAAAATTTTTTATGAAATTTGCTTAGTTCCACGGGCCGGACAAGAAATTGTACGCAAATGCGATTTACATCATTCGAAAGAGCGAATCTTTACTTTTAATTTGTTTTTTTTACGAAGCTCAATACGATTTTTTTTCACTGAGTTATTCTACGTTGAAGCAAAAATGACTTTTGCTGCAACCTTGAATAACTCGGTTTGACGCATTTTTACTTATATTTCTATAACTTCACGAAATATCAGTAAAATCGTTTTTTGAAGTACCAGTCTGAAAAGTAGAGATTTCAAGCTTTAAAATGTTTTTTTTAAACATCTCGATTCGATAATTTTTGACGAAGTTATTTTATCTTGAAGTTCGCGTGCAGCTACTGAACAAAATTAAAGTCACTTAAAATCAGTATTTAAAAGAACCAAATTCAAATTACACATATCTCCGCGAAGAATGGTCGCGAAGCAATGTACGAAAAAACTTTTTAAATCCATAACAAATTTCTTTAATTGTAAGTAAAGTTTAACATTTTCTCTTTAAAATTTTTTATCATTATGCTACAATTTTTTTCACTGAGTGATTTGAAGTGAGTAATGCATTATGTTGTCTTTCTCTGAAAATTTCTAAAAATGTTGCCGCCGGTATTAGCATTATTCGAAATGTATCACGGGGAGTTTACATGGTCGGACTTACATCTCGGGTGTGTTCCATTCAACGCACGCTCGCACACACGCACGACATACACACGCACGACGCACACACGCACGACGTATATACACACGCACGTCGCACGCACGTCTCACACACATTGCACACACGCACGACACACGCACCCACATGTGCATGCACGCACACGTAAATCCGACCGTGTAACTTTCTCGTGGTACACCTCGAATAATAATATCTAATACCGGCGGCAACATTTTTAGAAATTTTCAGAGAAAAGGCTACATAATGCGCCATTACTCACTTCAAATCACTCAGTGAAAAAAATTGTAGCATAATGATAAAAAATTTTAAAGAGAAAATGTTAAACTTTACTTACAATTAAAGAAAGGCTATAGTGGGATAAGAAGGTCAAAACTGCCCTAGCCTGGATTATTATTTGGAATTGGCCATTTGATAGGGCATATTTAAAAACTCCTTCAGCCCAAATTTCAGCCCCCTAGGTGATAATGGGTTGCTCCTAACGTGAAAAACGTGTTTTTTAGAAAAAAATTTCTACTGCTCAACTGTTTTCTCCAAAAAATCTGAAAAAATTCATGAACGTGAGTTTTTGGGTAAGGAAACATCCTAATTTTTTTCAGATTTTTTTGATCAAAACTGTAGCTATGAAAAATACATGAACTTTTCAATGATTTTTTAGGTTATGAAGGTCATATTTGGCCAAATTCTAAATAACATTCTCTGGTGTATTTTTTCACGTACTTCGGCATGCTGGTCTTAGAATTAACATTTTTGGACCGAAACATGTTCAAAATTTGATAAAAAACGATTTTTTCCGCATTTTTTCCATGTTATTGGCACATAACCTAAAAATTAAATAGTTCAATAGGTGATAGAAGACAGAAAAATACTCTAGAAATTTTCTAAACAGTAATTAATACGTTAAAAATGGCGAATAAGAGTCAAATTACAATTTAAAATCTGAATCTGATAATTTATTCTAATATTCTATATTGCGAAGAATATCACGTAATTTTTGGCGTTTCGTCCCGGCTTCCACTACTGGACTCATCAGTAAGGTATTGTAATGGAAGCCTACCTTAGACGCCGGTATAAGTTATTAAATCGAGATGCTATATAAAGAGATATACGCGTGTCTCAGCACTTGCGAGAATTTGCGAATATCGATAGACCTCTGATGGCGGGTCGACGTAGTAATATTCTTCGCAATATTTATCCAAGGTAAGAAATAACGTTCTATTAATATATGTAGTCCCCCCAAATTG